AGACAACCCCGTAACAATATGCGTTTTGTACTGCTGTTACACAGCACAAAACGCATAATAAAATGGGGGTTGGAAAAGAAAAGAAATGGAATAGTGCAGTATGTTCATTTAACATTCTGAAAAGAAGCCAAATTCTGTAATCTCATTTAAGCTAACCGGTACTTGCACTGGGTGAGGCCCGACCAGACTTACCGTCTGTCGCACCTCACGCAAAATTTTCAAACGAACAGCACTCTGGCAGCACTGTGCCTTCAGTGATTTGTGAATGTGCACCTGCCAGCCAGCACCACCGTTGCTGCCCGAGCAATCATCGACGCGCCATCCTCCCGCCCAGAGCGCAAAGAAATCCTGAAGTTCACTGCTGCCCCACAGTCTCAGCTCTGGCGGCCACGGGCTACTTTCGCGGCGACTCAGCCTTCGCCGAACAAAACTGGCGCCCCGCAAAGCTCCTCTTCATTTGGTCTTTCAAAGCAAGCAGCAGAACTTCGAGATCTGCCTGAAACCAATGACAACTACAGAAAGAAAAGGGAGAGAGAGTTTGGCCCGTCCAACACATGTGTTTTGGAAATTTTTGAAAAATGTAAACTATGAAAGTTTGTTTGGCACAAAGTTTGTTTGGTATGATGCGCTTTTAAATGGCCTGGAATGAGATTAATGAAGGCGACAGGGGGGGATGTCAACGACGACGATGACAGCAGCTGGCGCTGGCGAACGAACGAGCTGCTGAGAGCAGTGCTCGCGCTGAAGAAACCGACTGGATCGGAGCAAACATGGGCACCATTCGCAGTGGGCCGCAATCACTGCCCGCATAGTTCCGAAAGCAGCGAAGGCTTTGTGGAGCACGGTGAACGAGACAAGCAGATGAACAAACGCTCACTGGAATAACGGACAACGGGCCCGGGAGGGGGTTCAACGGGGACGCGAGGGATGCGAGAGCGGAGGGGAGACGGATCGGAGAAGGCATGTGCCAATACACATCGAATGTCAGATCAGCATTTCGGGATCAGAAGAGGCCGATCAAGCTGCGCGCACAGCTCCAGCGAGTTGCAGACGCACATCGAACCGGAGCAACGCATCGAAAACACAAGTGATACAAAGCTGCAGCATGCCTGCGGCCAGCCAACAGCAACAGCAAATGAGCGATGCAAATCACTGTTAGCCGGAAAACTATAAAGTAAAAGGCAGTACGGGCCCCGAAGGCCCTGTGAGGGAGTGGAAGAGGGTAGTAACCGAGGCCAGGAACAACGGCCCATTCAGCAAACGGTATCGACCGGCAAGGGTCGCACCAACCCCACATGCAGTAGGAGTAACCCAATCTGCAGCTGGAAGAATCCTACGGCGCAAAATTCACAGCATTGTAACTAATAACCTGGAAGGCCGTGCGTTGACAGAAGATGCTTGCATGTGTTTGCTCATGAACAGATGACCGGCACACGGCAGATCATAAAGATCTCGGAAGAAAGTCGGTGATGACGG